GGGATATATCTCAGTTGGTAGAGTGCTTACCTTGCATGCACAAGGCCCTGGGTTCAACCCCAGCACTGGAAAAAAAAAAAAAAATCAGTCTATCTATAATGCTGGTGAGGATGTAGGGGAAAATTTATACTCACACATTGTTGGTGGGATTGCAAATGAGTACAACCACTTTGGAAAGCAGTATATAGAGTCCTTCCCCACCCCCACCCCACCCCCCAAAACAGGAATAGGATCACCATATGACCCACTTATGCCACTCCCTGTGTTGACCCCAAAAGAACTAAAATCAGCATATTGTAATGATACAGGCACATCAATATTTACAAGCAGAATAATTCACAATAGCCAATTATAAAATCAGTCCAGATGCCCGTTGACAGAAAAATGAATTAAGAAAATATAATATATAAATATACACAATGAAGTTTTACTCAGCCATGAAGAAATAAATTATGGCCAGACACAATGATGCATGTCTATAATCCAAGCAGCTTGGGAGGCTGAGGCAGGAGAATCACTAGTTCAAAGCCAGCCTCAGCAAATTAGTGAGACCCTAAGCAATTTAGCAAGATCATGTCTCAAAATAATTAAACAAAAGGGCTGGGGATGTCTCTCAATAGATAAGCGCCTGTAGGTTCATTCCCTGATAGCATCTTTAAAAAAAAAAAAGATGAGATTATGGCATGTCAGCAAATGGATGGAACTAGAGAACATCTTACTAAGTGAAATAAACCAGACACAGAAAGTCAAGGCTCAAACACTCTCACACATGGAAGCTAGAGTAAGATAAGGGAAAAAAGCAGGACAGGGTCATATTTTCTAAGGGTATAGAGGGAAGATTAGTGAAGTAGAAGAATGGGGGCGGTGGGGAGATGGGCAGGAAAGGGGAGGAAATGTAGAATTAATTCAATGGTTATATTATGTCTAAAAATTCCATCTTTACATATATCTATAAAGCACCAACTTAAAAAACAAATTAGACAGAAGACCAGCATAATAGAGGAATAGTGGGAAGGAGGAGGGAATGGAAAAAGAAGGCACTGGGGACTGAGATGAACCCAATTAAACTCCATGCATGTATAATTACGTCAAGATGGACCCAACTATTATGTTTAACTATAATGTGCTAATAAGAGCATTTAAAAATAAAATGTACTCACTTCAACTACAAGAGCACTCTGAAAAGTGCTCAGCAATAAATGATATCAACTAAATGTCTATAAACTCAATCTTTTAATTCCCAAAAGATTAGGAAAACGAGATGTACACAGTAATTTATGTTAAGTTTTAATTACCCTTACCAGTCAGAAGCTAACTGGGTAGCTCTATCAAGCAAGGTACACGAGACACCAGTCACACACCAACAGTCAGCACCACTCCACCTCACGGCAACTGAAGAGAGATCACTTAGGGCACTACAGGTGTAAGAATTACCCGCTTAGGTTACAGAAAATACTACCTCCACATTAAGTACAGATCCATGATGATTTTAGTAACTAATTCTACAGCAATCCCTTGGGCCATTTGAATACTCACCCAAATTGCACATTCCATATATGAATTAGGATAGCCAGGTGTTAAGTTGTACACTTAAAATACATATCCACCAAGGGCTAGGGTTGTGGCTCAGCAGTAGAACTCTTGCCTAGCACGTTCGAGGCTCTGGATTTGATCCTCAGTACCACATAAAAATAAAACTATTGTGTCCAACTAAAAAAGTAAATATTAAAAAAATACATATCCACCAGAATGGCAAAAGTAAAAAACAAAAACAAGCATTGGCAAGAATGTGAATTGCAAACCTCGCATGTTATGGCAGGCAGAATTCTAAATGGTACAGATACTTTAGAAAAAAGTTTCACAGTATTTTTTTAAAAATTAAATTTACAACACAATCTAGCAATTCCATTGCAGAGATGAAAATTTGTTCACACAAAGACATACACGTTACTGTTCATAGCATTATTATTAAAAGAGTAAGCCAATATCTTATCACCAGTTTAGAAAATCAAAGCATAGTATATCCAAACACTGGAATAATTCGGTAAGCAAAAGAACTAAGTACATATAAAGTAAAACACTGATAAACCTCTACAACATGCTGAATGAAAGATGCAAAAAAAGTACAAACTGTATGATTCTACTTAGGTGAAATTTCTAGACAGGGAAACTTACACTTGAAAGCAATCAGTGAGTTTACCTAGAGTTGAGAATAGGAAAGAGAATTAACTTCAAAGGAGCAAAATAAAGACTTTTTGGACCACTGAAAATGGTCTAAAAATTGGATTGTGATGATTGTATAACTATAAGTTTGCTAAATTCTTGTATATCTAAATGGATTAATTTTATGGTACATAAATTATGTTAATAAAGCTATTTTTGTAATGGTTTTGATGCCAGGGATTGAACTCAGACTGGATTCATGGTAGGCAGTGCTTCTCAACACTGAAACTACATCCCAGACCCAAAACTTTTAAACACCATTATAACAAAATCTTAGGAATAACTTTTAAGACTGACAGCCCATTCATTTCAAATAATTCCAATACAATGACTTCTAATATACTACTAGGATTAACATTAGCAATTGCTTGAAAACTAAACAAGTCATCTTTGAAAGACTTTCCAGGTAAATCTCTCTCTGAATGTTACTGATCAAATATTGCTCCTTCAAGCTATAAGTCTTGTAATTGTGACAAAAATCTGCCTATTGTTTACATTAGGATCATCTCTTTTCTATTTTACTAATTGGTTTTTACCCTAATCTTATACCCTATAATATTCCATTTTATAAAAATCTGTTACTTGATATTGACCCAATTTTCCATGAGTTTTCTCAGAATATTTCATAACCTGAAATAAAAATCTTAGTATTTATACTGAACATTTTTAAATACATACATTCTTTCTAAATATGAAAACAGATATTTTCCTATTTTTTTCCTCCTCCTTTGCTCATTAAGTCACTTCAAGTGCTGTCCCCGATAAGTTTCAAACATTTCAATTGTTTCAAAATTCTTCTTTGCTTTGAATTTGATGGGTTCTTATTTTCAAAGCACTGTTGACTTCCATGCTCAGGATGGCTTGAATTTCAGCCAAGCACTGTTGACTTCCATGCTCAGGATGGCTTGAATTTCAGCCAAGTACAGATATGTCAGTTAATGTTCCCTCTCAGCAGCCATTGAGAACATTTAACTATTAAAATCAAACTCAAGTCAAGTCTCATATGAAACACTAAGTGCCTACAACAGATAAAAGTACAAAGCTAAAGATGAAGCAGATATCAAGAACTATGTAATGTTTTGAACAACCAACAATAAAAATTAAAAAAAAAAAAAAAAAAAAGATGAAGTAGAAGACACCCTGTCTGCTATGGCCCAAAGCAACCCCAAGTTATAGCCGTTAAAAACCAATGTTATAAATTACAAGATACTCTTATGATTTTGGCAAAACACAACTCCAAAAATTTTTAAATTGAAAATACTAACACTCAAAAGAGAAACTTGAAATACATTTAAATAATTTTTTAAATCTCAATTAAAAAAAATAACTATAAAATGATTTTCCTTTAATTTCCCTTTGAAACTCCATAAATACATTATTCTTTAGGAATTCCATTTGCTACAAAGACCATACACCTTTTATCATTTCCTGATTATGACAGATTTTTTTAAAAAAATCAACCAAAGACAAGTCACATAACACAAACACTGAACTTAGAGGAAAGTAGTCAAATAAACTGATAAACAGGAAATGCCACTTGCCTAACAGATAGTAAAGATGATGGCAGAATGCCTGATAAAACAGTTTTATGTAACTGAGTTAAAAAAAAAAAATTCTATCTGCCTCCAGAATCAGATATAAAGAAAATGTTCACTCAAAATGGCAATAAAATATAAGGATAAACCTGGAAAGGGAAATTAGTACAACTAAGAATTTTTTAATTTGATTACAAAATATGAATCCCTTCCCCTCAGAAATCAAAGGTAAAGGTGCCATGAAAATAACTTCGATTAATCTCTATGAAATAAAAATTATTGCTATGGAATTGTAAAAATGGAGGCAATAAGGAGTTCAGAAGTACACTCAAAAGTTTACAACCAACTAAATGAACCATAATTTGAACCCTATTTTCCATATTATGTAGAAATCACAATCCAGGTTTTGTGTCCTCAGTTATTCAGATATATATTATATAATTCACATTTTAAAGTGTTTTATCATTACATTTTCAAATTTGATAAAATCGAATTAAAACACTTAACTATTCAATATAAATCATTGTTAAAAGTATAAGGTAACATTAAAGGAAATTACTGAGATGTCATAAGTATTTCCTATTTAATATATACAATTCAATATTTAGAACTACATAAATTAATTCTTCCTAAAAGCTGATTCAGTTTTTTACAAAGGCATATTTTGTTGACTATAATAAATATATCCCCAGTACCACTTTTCTTTTTTATTCTAAAATTCTTTTCATTAGTTTTAATTTTCTTCTGTCATTAATATGCAAAAATTACAGGTCTACAGCAAGTAGTCTTGAAAGTAACATGTTTTAAACTCTAAGCAAAGTGCACATTAAACTAGCTACAATTACTCATACTTCTTATCATCAAATAAAAAATAAATAACACTTCACTTAAAACCTGAGGGGAATAAGAATTCTCCCAGTAAGGATATTATGTAAAAGATTTTCCAGGTTTTTGTTAAATAAATGTACTTGCTCTCATTAAAACTTTTTAAAAGTCTAATGAAGAAAACACACTTACAATGCCATATTACACAACTATAGTATTGTTAATTAAATAAAGCAGCCCAGTATAGTTGTAAACATTTTAAATGTAGTAAACAAGACTTGGCATATCTTTTCTCCCCAAAACTTGCCATTACAATGCTCTTTATGAATAATTATTCTTCCTGGAAAAGTTTTCAGGTATATTTTAGTATTTTCAAAAATAATACACTGAAATAATATGTGAAAAGATTTAGTCATGGCAATTTCACTGAAGCTTTTATTGCCTCTGTTGGTAATATGACAGGGATTGTAAGAAACACAATTGAACTTACAGAGATATGCAGATGATATTTACTAAAGATAACCTTGATTCTCAAGTATTTTTATATGTGGGTACTTCTAATTTTATACATTTTACTATTTAAAAAGCATTACATTTTAAAATGTGTACCTGTTCTGACATTTGGCAAAAACGAAACTGTACCTGTGGGTCAGTTTGAAACAAAGAATCAGCATGGGGAGGTGACCAGAATGAAGACTGAAACACTTATGAATTAAAGCAATTCAAGTTGTGTGTGTATGTGTCTTCCTCTCTCACAAACTCGCACACACTCACACATGCATACAACCATACGTGTAAGCATTATTTAGTACAAAATATCCCTGTAACCATTTATCCTCAGAATAATCACACCACATTAAATCAATTTTCTCTTTTCAGCCCTAGTAATAGTTTTGTTTAATTCTAAGATGCCATCATAGTGAACAACCTTAACTTTAATGCTACATAATTATATTCAAAGTTTTATGTATTTTTGTTTATAATTACACAGTAATTATAAATGTTTAGTACCAAACTGATGACAAACACTATTTTGTTGAAGAGGGCTTGCATTTAAAAGGAAAATTCTGTAAAATCCAAGGCACTAGGCCACAACCAATATCAGATTTTTATGAAAAACAATTTATATTGGGGGAAAAAAAGGCTAATGTGATCTCATTTCAAAACACAGCATACTTGAATTAGTCAATCTGAAAACAATAACATAACTTGAAATCTTTAAGACAGAAAATAAAATTTGAATCTTTAAGACAGAAAACACATATATGTATCATTTAAAATTTTTTCATAATTGAAGTTCCTCTTCATATTTACAAAAATTAAATCAGGAAATACTGAAAACAGCAGGATTCTTTTCCTTCTTTTGTTTTTCTTTCATAATAACCAATTCCTGTAACCTGAACAGAAATTTTATAATTTTTCTTTCTGCAGACTTACATTCTTCAATTAAAGTTATGATTGGAATATTAATATAATATCTATGGGATAAGCTTTTTAGTCAATTTCCAAATCATGTAAATAAAAAGCAGTTTTAATGTCATTGTTTCTTAAAATCATTTCCACATCTGCATAAAACGTACTGCTATTCTGAAGTACATACATACATTCCTTTTTTAATACTAGACCTTAGAGAGTACCTGGAAATACCAAGCAATATCTGTTCCTATTAAGAGACCACAGTCATCTAACGTTTGAAGTTCAGCATTTTTAACATGCCTTACGGAAATGTTTAAGAAACCAATAAACCCTTCTTCACATGTCAGTAAATAAGCAGAGAAATGAGCACTTTCAGCAGGAAAGCAGTTCATGGGTCTTGTAATAAAAAAAATGCATACAAGAGAGTATTCTGCTTTGATGTGAAAACTGAACTAATTTGAGTGAAAGAAAAACAGTAAAAAGACTAAGTTTACAAAAATAGAAGCCAGATTGGTATTTTGCATCAAGTACATGCTTGTTTGAAAATCTTTGCTCCTGAAGTAAATATTTGGCAACCACAGTGATTAGCAGTTAAAGCAATTTCAACAAAATAAGAAGTCATCAAAAATGGACTACTTTTCTGAAAGAGCAGTACCTATATTATATAGATTGAACTTCATGGCTCATCACAACCATTTCCAAAATTTAATTCCTACTATCTTTTTATAAATTAAAAGAATTTCATTTGTGTTCCATAGTGCGATGACCAGAAAGAAAAAAACAAAAACAAAAACAAAAACCCTTATGCCTAAATTTAGAATATTGTATTGTGTGGCAACCCAAAACATTCAAAACAAATTAAATAGTTTAACTTATTGATAGGCATATAAGCATTTCAAAAGCATAATGAAATCCAATTATGTAGCGCATAATGTAGATAAGAGTGGAATCTAACATTATGCAGACATTTTCTAAATAAAAGCTCCCTGTAGGACCATTATATATAAACATGGGTAAAGTTAAATGCAGACTAGTTCTGTGAAACCTTTTTGAAATTATGAGTCTGAAACACATTTTTCAGGTAGGCACCAAGTTATCCTAAAAATTTTTCACGTTGGTTATTTTGACGTTTCTTTCATCAGATTCTCTACGCACATCAACAACACATGTGATTTGTCAGGAAAAAAAAATATCCCCCCAAACCAAAACACCATTTCAGATCCAGTACACTTAAATATATCACTCTCATTGGAAGTGCTATCAGCATAGTCTTTGCAACTAGCCCAAAGCATATATTTAAGAAGTTCTTATAAATTGTTTGTGATGTTCATTATGTTTAATTCTTATGCCAAACTGTTTTCTGATGAAGACAGCATTGTGCTTTATGCGAGAATGGAAACCTCAAAATAATCACCATAAAGCTTCTAAGACTTATGGGAGAATAAACTAGGATGGTCCACAGATATAAGATGAAATCCACAACGTTGGAATTATAAATGTTTAGAGCGGCCCAGACTAGAAGACAAGCCCAAACCACCATTAGAAGAATGAAATACGATATGGTCCAAGATGTATCCTTAAAGTTTTGTCTCAACCCTCAGTTTGAATTGTGAGGATTGATCTTCAGTTCAGTCCAGCCAGCAGAAATTGACTGTGCAATTTTCCGTTGTATTTATTGTACAGACTATGTACATTCTAGAAGGTTCCTTTAGTGCTACACTGTTGTACTTTTTGTCCCAGCAATTTGAGGGCGTGCAAATTCCACAAAGTCATCAATGAGAACAGGCCATGCTCCTGGGAAAAAAGAAAAACCAAAGTAAGGCTAATATTTTAATAGATTCCTTTGGTGGTTTTGTTTTGTTTTGTTTTTTGGTAGTAGAGATTGAACCCAGGGGCACTTAACCATTGGGCCACATCACCTGCCCTTTCTTACATTTTGTTTATAGACAGGGTCTTGCTGAGTTACTTAGGGCCTTACTGAGTTGCTGAGGCTGGCTTTGAACAATCCTCCTGCCTCAGCCTTCTGAGCTACTGGATTATAGTCATGTACCACTGTACTCAGCCTTCCTTTGGTTTTTAAAAAATATCTTCCTAAGAGTTAAATTATATCATTCTTATCTTTTACCACTAATAAGTCTTTCAAAATTCAAGCTTTGTAGTTTTTACCCCAAATACTCCTTGTATTCTCTCTAATCTGTTATTCCAACATATGGTTGCTCCCTAAGTGATAAAAATAATTCTTCTGGCAATCAATCAATACTACAGCATTCTGGTTTCCTGAAGGCCACTGAAGTCTGGCAACGGAAGTAATTTGATCAAAACTGGCAGCCTAATGGATGGCCATTAAGTGATAACATGCTGCCAGCGCTGTGAGCATAGCAGGAAGAAACAAGTTTCCAGGCATTTTGTGGCACTCTTAAAAAGAAAACTAACAGCAAGTATCAAAATTTATTCTATTTCATGAAAATAAATGACTAAAAGATTTTAAATTGCACATCTCTACATATCCTCATGCCAATCTCCAAATCAGGAAGGTCTCTAGTTTTGCATAAAACCTAACAGAAAGCCTAATTATCAGGCATATGTAAGATTAAACACAGTGAAGACAATACATGACAACAAAAATGGAGAGAAGACACCATCCCTGGTTAGTTTAAATGGTTCCAGGACACTACAAAGAGGTCAAGACCAGCCATAGAAGATTTTTCTAATACTACCATATTTAGCAATCTCAAAAAGTCATCCTGCTAGGGCTGGGGATATGGCTCAGTTGGTAGAGTGCTTGCCTTGCATGCAAAAGACCCTGGGTTCAATCCCCAGCACCAAAAAAAAAAAAAAAAAGCCATCCTGTTAATTTTCGAGGGGGATTAGGTAAGTATGTGTGAATAAATCAATTTAAAACAACAAAAAAAAGTGTATATAGTGGTAGTAGATGGCAGCATCATTTTTATGAAGAAACAGCAGAAAAGTACTCAATCAATGAATGTTTACTGAATACCTATAACTAAAGTGCATTTCAAATTAGACAAAATCAGTGAACTTAAAGAGCTTGCAAACTAGCAGAAAACAATAAAAATACATAGGAGTAAATATAAAAACACATTAAGAAGAGAATATATTCTTTCAACTGAAAATCTAAAATATAAGTGAAAATCACTCATGCTTTTCTTATGTTTTTCTGGCAGACAAGAATACTGGTTGGCTTTTTTTCTTTTCTTTTGCTGGGGACCAAACTCAGGGCCTCACACATGCTGGGCAAGTGTTCTACCACTGAGCTACACCTCTAACCCACTCACTGGATTTTAAAGAAACCAAATGATATAGATGGTAAAGAAAATGAAGGCATTACATACATTTAAAATAGCATACATAGGGATTGGGGGCATAGCTCAGAAGTGGCAGTCTTGGCTAATGCCCAGGACCTTTTGGCCTTTAAACTGGTCCTGAAGCAGAGATAAGTGAAGAAAGAATACTACTAAAGATAAAGAACTATATCTTGGGAGCTGGGGTTGTGGCTCAGTGGGAGAGTGCTTGCCTAGCATGTGCAAGGCACTAGGTTCGAATCTCAGCACCGCATATAAATAAAACAAAATAAAGGCCCACCAACATCTAAAAAAGATTAAAAAAAAAAAACAAAAAACTATATCTTCATATGACAGGATAAATTCAACACGCTGAAGCCCCAAAACCAAAAAATAAAAGAGAATAAATAAAAGCTCAGGAGGAAAATTCAACTCTAAGAAAAACAGCCTCTGGATAGGAAGTTCAGAGATATGTGATAAAAAGAGATTAGAGGCTGGGTACAGTGGCTCATGCTACAACGCTAGCAGCTCAAGAGGCTCACAAGTTTAAGGCTAGAACTAAGCAAGGCCCTAAGCAACTCTGTGAAACCCTGTCTGTAAAAAATAAGGACTGGGGATGTGGCTCAGTGATTAAGCACCCCTAGTTTTAATCTCCGGTAACAAAAAAAAAAAAATTAGAAACAGGGCATACCTACAATCCCAATGATTCAGGGAGGTTAAGAGAGAAAGATTCCAAAGTCAAGGACAAAAGGGGCAATTTAGTGAGACCCTGTTACAAAAAATACAAAAGGGCACGTAATTTACATCAGTGGTAAAGTGCCCCTGGGTCTAATCCCCAGTAACGCCCCCACCACATAAAAGATGGCAAATTAAAAAAAAAAAAAAAAAAGTTTTATTACCTTCTTCATCGTAATTAGACATGTCATCTGCAATCATTGTACTGAAGTCTAAAAGAAGATTCCAAGTATCTTTTGGTATTGATCGTTTATGATGTTCCTATTGAAAAATAAAAACATTCGTATCACTATAAAGAGTTAGAAAAAAATAGTCCAGATGACACTAAATATAAGAATGCAATTCTGATAATCAAATTTCTTATTCTATGTCCATTTACATGCTCTGAAATGAGTAATCATGCTTTAAAATGTTAATTCCTCTTTACATACAGCATAATCATGGAGAAAATATATGGAACTATAGAAAATGTGAACTTACCAACAAAAATTTATTCCATAAGTCTAAGAATTTAAATCTTCCATTAAGCACTAAGTTCCAGTAGGCAATGGCCATTTCTAGATCTGTAAGATTAAAAATAAATTATGTACTTCCATAAATATTCTATAAATATTTGTCCCTGCAAAAGAATAAGAACTAAAGAAAGGCCTTTTAAAAAAACAAACCAAAAAAGAAAAAAAAAAAAAAAACCACACTTGTATCCTGAATACTTATGTACTAAAAATTTCCTAAAGTTTGTATCCTGTTTTCTCATGATGAATGGTCCTTCAAGGCCTTCCTTCATAATAAAGTGATAACACTTTACCACTTACCTCACAGAACTGTCCTACAGTTTAAATTAGATCATGTAGTTCAGCCCTTAACTAGTCACTAAGTATTCAGATGTTAGTTAATGTACACCAAGGCAATTTAAACATTTTGAGCAAGATAATTCTTTGTTGTGGGGGGGTTGTCCTATGCAATGTAGGATTTTCAGTAGAATCCCTGGTCTCTACCCACTCAATGCCAGTAGCAGTCTCAATCCATACCAAGTGGAGACAACAAAAAATGTTTCCAGATATTGACAAAGATTCCCTGAAAGGCAAATTTGTCCACAACTGGGAATCAATGATACACAACTATAGGATGGAATGCAAAGAACTTCTACTCACAATCCTAAAAATCTCCCACTCCAAGTTGGTCCTGACCACAAAGAGACCATCAAGAATACTGATATAGGCTGGGAATGTAGCTCAGTGACAGAGTGCTTACATGAAGCTCTCAGTTTCATTCCTAGTACTGCAGGTAAGTAAAATAAAAACCAATAATTAATACATATGTATATACACACACATACATATACTATATGAAGGGACACTTGGTCTCAGAGCAGAGACAACTGAAGCAATACTACCAACATGATAACTACAACTGTTATATGACAGCATGAGCTAATCTCTTTTAAGGAATTAAAATAAAAAGTAATCTAGCTTTTATGAGCAAATTTATATGTTCAGAACACAATCTGGGGACACATAAGAGATTAGGAAAATGCACACCCAAAATCTGAGCTACTAGGGAAGCTGAGGCAGAAAGATTGCAAGTTGGAGACCGTCTACGCAGCTTAGTGAAAAACTCTGTCACAAAATACGAAAAAAAGCAGCTGTGAATTTAGCATGAGTAAGGTCCTAGGTTTGATCCCCAATATCTTTAAAAAAAAATTGTATAGAATTAATGTCTAATCTCACTTTCTCTTATGAGATTTCTTAGAATGCTAGAAGGAGGAGGTATTCAACATCTCTCTAATGATACAGAATTTTCTCTATCATATGAAGAGAATCTGAAACTAGGATAATTAACAGTTAACTGATTAAACAACCATTTCCCCAAGAGTTAAGAGAATAAAGCCAACCTGAAGGAAAATCTCTCCAGAAACAGTAATATTCTATGTTAATAATTCCACTCCACTCAAATACTCCTTAGTGATTTGACCAAGATATGCTAAAGCTTGATTATCATATCTATATAGCTGCTGTCATCTCTGCTAATCCCCCTTCTATCTCAAGAAGACACTAAACAACTTTTATCAGAATTCCATTTAAATTTTCAGACTGGTTAATCCCCTTTATCATTCCTAGCCATTAATCCAAACTGCAAACCTATCTGGTAGTCTACCTTTTCTATTATCCTAATTCCACTACCTTTTCTATTATCCCAATTCCCGTAACTGGCCTTTTCCCCCCAGATTTTTGTTGTCCCTATAGGTCTTCCTTTCTGATCCTCCAGTGCCCCTTGAATGCCCATTACAATACAACTAAATTCTGCATCCTGAACTTTTTTAGAGAATGTAACCTTCAATCCTCTTGTGTTATCTAAATCCTAATTTACAGCATTGCTTTCAAGTGACAGCTGCATTTCCCTCTCAAAAGAACGTGGACACTTTTCTTAGATCACCACTACCACCTCTAAATCACTACTCTTTCACCTTCATGCTTTATGAAATACCTAAAAACTAAATCTATCACTTAATCCCTTCTCAGCTCTATCCTTCTACCAAGCTCCTAATCAAATCTGCCACATTTGCTGACATCTTTGGTAACTGGTTCAGTCCTTCTTGATCCCATGTTCTGTCACCATTCTGAAGGTCTTCAATGTCCACGTGAAATGTCTTATGACCACGCACTCTATTAGGACAGTTCCTACCTCTACTCTAGTCCAAAAGCAAACGCTCCTCTAAAAGAAACGCTGCCAAAAGATGACTGGAATTAACCAAATTCAGTTAAACTGTAAGAGCTTTAATCAACATGCAAACATCAGCAGCATTTTTAATATGCCAATAAAGAACATGCTAAGAAAGCAAGCAATGTCACTCACAATGGCTATAAAAGAAAATACACAGGATTAAATTCAACCAAAGATCTGAATCCCAAAATGTCAAAAAAATGGTAAAACACCCCATGTTCGTGGACAGAATTGATAAAATGTCCATAGCTACCTAAAACAATTTAAGGATTCAATGCAATCCCTATCAAAATAACAATGCCATTCTTCACAGGGGAAAAAAAAACTATTATTCATATGGAAACACAAAAGTTCTCAAATAATGGCCAGGGATACATGACAGAGCGCTTGCCTAGTATGCATAAGGCTCAGAATTCAATCCCAAGTATCAGGAAAAGGAAAACAAAAAAAAGAATAAGTAGCCAGAGCAATCCTGAACAAAAAGAATAAAGCTGAAGCCAGGAATGATGGCATATGCTTATAATCCCAGCTACTTGGAAGGATGAGGCAGGAGGACTGCAAGCTTGAGGCCAGCTGGGGTAACTGAGCAAGACATTGTCTACAAGAAAAGGTGGGTGGGTGATGGACATATAAATCAGAGAAGCCTCTTGGACTCAGTACCACCAAAAAAAAAAAAGACGGAGGGGAGGGAGGGAAGGGAAGGGAAGGGAGGGAAGGAAAGGAAAGGAAGAAAGAGAGAAAGAGAAGCTGAAGGTTTCATAATATCTGATAAAGTATAGTAATCAAAAACATCATGGTATTGGCTTAAAACAGACACACAGATCATTGGACAGAACAGAAATCCCAGAAATAACCCCCTGCATCTACAGACAACTGGTTCTTGCCAAAGATGACAATGGAGAAAGGGCAGCCTCTTCAATGCACAGTGCTGGGACAACTAGATATCCATATGCAGAAGACTAAAATATATCTCCTATTTGTTGCCTATGCAAAAGTGAACACAAAAATGGATCAAAAACCTAAACAGATGACCTGCATAATGATGAAACTACTAGGAAAAAGAAGAAAACACTTCAAGACATCCACACAGGAAATGACTTTTTCTAGATTAAGACCCCAAAAGCACAGGAAATAAAAGCAAAAACAGATAAATGAATTTTGTCAAACCAAAAAGCTTCTGCATAGAAAAGGAAAGAGTGAGGAGATAACCAAAAGAATGGGAGAAAATATCTGCAAACTATTCATGTGACAAATGACTACTCCCAGAATGCAAAAAAGAACTCAAACGCTGGGCACAGTGGCGCATGCCTATAATCCCAGCAACTCAGGAGGCTGAGGCAGGAGGATCACAAATTCAAAACCAGCCTCAGCAACTAAGCAAGGCCCTAAGCAACACAGTGAGACCCTGTCTCTAAATAAAATATAAAAAGGGCTGGGAATATGGCTCAGAGATTAAGTGCCCCGGTAACAACAACAACAACAAAAACCCTCAACAATAAATAAAAAATGAATAAATGATCTGACCAAGTATCTCTCAAAAGGACAAATACAAACAACCAAGAAATATGTGGAAAAAATGCTCCTTATCCTTAGCAAATAGGGAAATGCAAATCAAAATCACAATGAATTATCATGTTACTCTAGTTAGAATAGCTACTATTAAAAAAAGTCATGGGGCCGGGGTTGTAGCTCACTGGTAGAATGCTTGCCTAACTCACGTGAGACATTGGATTAAATCCCTAGCACCACATAAAACTAAATAAAGATATTTGTATCCATCTACCCACCCCCCCCCAAAAAAAGTCACAATTGCTGGCAAGAATGCAGAGAAAAGGGAACTGTTCTCTTAAACTACTGGTAGAATGTAATATAAATTAGTGCATCAATTTGAAGAGTATAGAAGTTTCTCAAAAAACTAAAATCAGATCTACTATACATCCAGGTATTCCACTTCTGGGTATATATCCAAAGGAAGTGAAATTAGCATATTAAAGAGATTATCTACTCCCCATGTTTACTGCAGCACTATTCACAATAGCCAAGATACAGAATTGGCAGAGGCACACATCAATGGATGAATAAACAAAGTATGCTATATATACACAATGAAATATTACTCAGACATAAAGAATGAAGTCCTGCCATTTGCAGCAAAATGGATGGAATTGGAGGATATTACATTATGTAAAATAAGATACAGAAGTGCATGTTCTCTCTCACATGTGGAAGTTAAACTTGAATTCAGAATAATAATTACTAAAGGCTGGGGGATAGACAGAGATTGAATAAATGTACCAAAACACAGAAGGAGTTCTGGTGTTCCACAGTTCAATAAGACAACTACTGTTCACACTGATTTATTATATACTTTGTGAAGATCTAGAAGTAGTTCAAACCTCCAAATATTAAAAAAAGAGATAGAAATACTGATTATCCCAATTTGACCAGTTTTACACCATTATGCATGTATTGAAATAACACATTGAATCCCATAACAATAAGCGATATTTCATGTTAATAAAAATTTTAAGTAAAATATCCTGGAACTTTAACCATTATGCCACTTGTTATGATTTGGGTCTGGAATGTCCCTCAAGGTCTGTGTGTCAGAAGCTTGGTCCCCAAAGCAGCAAAGTTCAGAAAGTAAAGTTTTGAAGAAATGATTGGATCATGAGGGCTCTGGCCTTATCAGCAAATAAATCCACTAACTAGTGAACAGACTACAGGGAGGTGGTGGGCAGGTAAGGCATGGTTGGAAAAGACAGGTCACCAAGGCATATACTTTGGAGACTTTTATCATGTCCTGGTGTGTCCCACCTCTTCCCTGGATGCCATGAACTAA